CGTCTTGCGGCTGTTCGAGCTTTGCTGCTGTGACAGCTCCGTACAACCCCCCCAGAAAGATCATCTGAAAGTTTGAAATTTCCTGACCTATGCACGGATTTGGTGCCTTGGGAATGAGGTGATGGGAACCCTTAGATTTAGCGAAGCGCGGCTGCTCAGAGCCAACCCTGGCGCTTCCCCAGGGGCGACAGTTGGGTTGCCGCAACTTTGCTATAACCAGCTGCAAAACTGGTTTGACCTTTCTGGTGCCTGCTCAAAAGAGGTCAGCGCTTCTAACGCAAATTATTTTGCTTCTTCCAAAAGGTGAAGGCTAAATGTCAGGTTTGATGAATGAGTGACCTTTCATGGGGGTGGAGGGGAAACTCCCGTGCACGCTCCACCCCGCGCACCGACGTCACTTCCATTATGGGGCTGAGTAACGTTTTCCAAGAAGTCAGAGACGGTAGGTTGAAGCAGCGCCGTCATCCATGTGGGAATCGCATCTGGCACAGACTTACTACTCTGTAATGCACATTGGTGACCAAATCACCTCTTGCTTTTTTTTTAATTGAGAGCTGGAGAAAGCAAGAGGCATGACGAGGGTGGGGGGAGACCCCTCCTAGGTTGACTGGTTGCCGTCAGCACCTGCTTTCCCCATCCTGCCTCATGATGCTGGAGGTGTCAGCGTCCCCATGCGTGGTCCTGGGAAGGTGTGGTAGAGCAGGGAGCAGCACAAAGCACTGGAGAAGTATTAAACGGTGCATCAGGATGTCTGTACGGCAGGGCGAAGGCTTGCTGAGGTCTCCACGAGGGTCTTCACCCAAAAGCAGCCCCGCTGCTTGCTGGAGAGAGATGCCCAACGGAGCAGCTTCCAGTTTGGGCGCTCAGCGGGTGTTTTGCCACGGCCCGGTACGCGGTGGCTGTCGGCACTCCTGGAATCCAGCCCTTCAGGAAGGCGAGCCTGCTCGGGGCTCTCTGCGCCCTACTTCCGACCTCGAAACCTGGTGGGACGGAGGCGGATGCTCGGCAAGGGTGCTTGGGAGCCGTCCTGAGCAGGTTTCTGCCAAGCACGGGTGAGCCTCGGGCTTATCCCGGATCCAGAAGCTCCACCGTGCGTTGCTTTCCCAGGGGGAGATGCCCAAGTGCTGCTCTCAGCCGTTCACCTCTGACGTGCCCCTCGGTGTTAGCTGCAGCACCGTCCTGCAGCGCAGCACTCGG